AGGAGAAAACATTTTTATTAGTGTACAATAAAATAAAAAAATTTTTTTTTTTCAAAAAGCAAAAAAAAAAGTCATCATTTTTTTATTCTGGTCAGCTTTGAACTGTTTTTTTTTTTGTTTTCCCCTTCTCCTTGCTTTGCCTCTATTTGTACCAGCTTTTTCTTTCCACGAATATATACTGAAATTATCATCGTCATCATCAGTTTTTTCTTTTTTTTTACTTTGCTTTTTGCTTTTGTTTCAAAGTTGTTGTGTTCAGAATTGCAAAAAAAAAGAAGGAAGAAAAACCAAAAAAAAAGGAAAAAAAAAAAAACAAAGGAAAGCAAAAAAAAGAAAAGACAAAAGTTTTAGCCATTAATTGAATCTTAGAAGTTATTGTTGCTATTCCGTTTTCCCGTCTTTTGTTTTTAGACAACATTCTTCTTCTGGGCATCACCACTTAAAGACCACAGATACTTTTGCTCTTCCACTCGATGGTTTTTTTTTTTTTTTTTATTTTTCTACCATTATTTGTAAAATAATTGTTCTTCACTGTCTTCTTATGTTTCTTCGGAAATAAGAGCACGAAAAGAATGATGACATATGACGATGATGGCAATAATGCTACTGGGGCTTTTGCTAAAATTCTTGTAAATTTTTGCAATAAATTTACATACTGAAGAAAATAAAAAACAAAACGACACATTACTTCTATAAAAGGAGAGCAAAAAAAGGAAAAAAAGTAAAGGCAAAGACAAAAGAAACTTAAAAGTAACAAAGTTAGTCTATTAGTCTGAGGAAAAAAAAAATTGTTTGACGGTGAACAGTAAAAGAAGAAAAAACGACTTTTCTTTTGTTTTGTTTTTTTTTTCTCGCTGTTTCATTTTATTTTTCATATTTTTTATACAACAGAACAGAACAGAACAGAACAGAACAGAAAAAAACTACATTTTTCTTGAGTATTTTCTTTTCTTTTTTGCTTTTTTTTGGCACATTTATATACCCGTTAGATGAATGATGCAGAAAACATTTGTGTGATAGGAAAAGTTTTACTCCACCTTTTGCCAAATTGTTT